ACACACTCAGCATCCACTATACACACACTGCATCCACTACACACACCAGTACACTACATCCACTCTACACACACACTGCATCAATTATGCACACATTCTCGTGGGCAGAATTCAATGTTCTGTTTGTGAGAGCCTAACCCATGCATGTCCCCATCCCCTCAGAATGAACACAGAGATCTCAGGAATTAGAGAACTGATGCACTACTTCCCTTTCAGTTACTGAACTCAGTGCACAATTCTTGAATGCACTGCCCACAGAACAAAGGGCTGTGATACAGACAGGAGGACAAAATACTCAGCTGAATAACCCAAATTGCATTGCAATACCTCTGTATAAAAAAAAAAACATATGCGAAAAAACCAAAAGAATTGTAAGTAGGGTTTTCGTGATTTACGGATCTTTTCTCTTTCAAGTGCATTGACATTTTTTCTTTTCTGTCGCACCCTGTGATGTCATGTCCTGTGATGTCAGGCATATATAATTATAAAAATTAGCATGACAGGACAGGATGGGAATCTTATCTAATAAAAAGAGTAAAGGGTAACAAAGTGAGACAAGCTGGCATAGAATCAGATCTCTTTAGTCTGCAACACCATCACAGTAAGTTAGTGGCACTATGTGGTACTGCACCAGATCGAAGACATCTGAAAACCAGGACACTCCCTTGGAACTCTGACAGAATGTGGGGAGGAGGGGTAAAGGGAGGATAGGAAGGGGTGGCTGACTATTTTTACATTTGTCTTGTCTATACCACATGAAGCTTTTTCAGAGGTTGTCAACGGTGCCATATAAACAGAGCATTATATATTTCACTTGTAGATCCTTCAGTTCTGTTTTCTCGTATGTGCAAGGTTTAAATTAAAAACTATGCAGAAAGCTAGCTACTTCCTCCTGTGCGTGTTGAGTCTGAGTTCAGGTACAGTGATGTGATGATAGCTCATTAGATTGATGGGAAAGTTAAAGATGCATGTAAAACCACAGTTCTGTGTATTTAATCTGTGAGTATTTATGGTACTTACGTAAATAAAAAAAAATTTTTTTTAAAGTTGATGAGATCTACAAACTAAACAACAAAAATTAGATTTTTTTTACACTCACCCTAATTGCTATGTAGATTCCTTTATATCCCTTTATTTATATCTTTATCCACCACAAAACCTCTCTTTTTATGCTGTATCTCTCTATATTCCAACTCCATCTTGCTTTATTAATGTGACTCTCTATATCCCTTTGTTACAGGAGCTGCTAGAGAAGATTCCATTGAGTCAAAGCTTTCTGAGTTGTCTGTGGAAGAAGGAACGAGTGTCACTCTCTCCTGCTCATACACCACAAGCTATACAACGACTTATTATTTGTATTGGTACCGTCATTATCCTAACAAAGCTCCAGATTACATTCTGCATAAAGCTAACCAGGGAACATTTGTTAATACTGCTCCTTTTGCTAAGGAGAGATTCAATTCTCAGGTGGATGCAGAGTCTACAAATCTGACCATCAGTGAGTTCAAGATAGAGGATTCTACCATGTATCTATGTGGACTACAGAGAGCACAATGCGACAGATCTGAGCACAGCAGCTACATAAACCTCATAGAGTTTATAACAGCTCAGAGTGTGGAAGGGAAGTCATTCTAGTGATTTCTTCCTTTATCGCAATTTCAAATTCTCTTGGTAGGGAAACATGGAAAACAACAAAGATCTATAGATGTGCACATAAATCATTTTAGGTACGTTTCAGAATAAAAAAAAAAAGAAGTTAATTTGATATTCTGCCATATAGATATTTGGTTTGAGTTAAATTGGGTAAAATATTAGTTTACTCGTCAACTTTCTGCTGACCTTCAATCTCTGGTTCACTGGAAGTGCTAGCAGCAAGCAGGCAAATAACTAATAATCCTTTTTTACACTTTTTTTTCATTTTTATGTGGCTGCTGACATTTAGTCCACTGCCAAAATCTAAAAAGTGTAAAAAAAAATTAAAAAAAAAAGAGAAAGAAAGCCTATAGGTGTCATTATGACTCCCATATTAGTGTAAGGGAAGATATAGACCTGGGGTTCCCAGCCCAGTTCACAAATACCTCCTACCAGTCCAGTAGATAGGGATTACCCTGTCATGTCTAAAGTGTTTTTTTTTCTTTCTAAAAAGCACCGGGTAGTCCCTAAATCCTGGACTGATAGGGGGTACTTGAGTACTGGACTGGGAACCACTGATATAGACCACTGCGGCCCAGTTGCTAAAAAGGGTCAATCCCATCATGTGGTGGACTTTATCATAATTAAATAATAGGGGGTGGGAAGTTTACTGTCCACCTGCTGCCTCCACCAGTGGCAAGTGGAGCTACTAATTTAAAAAATGGGTGTATCCTAATTATCCTCCTATGTCCTCCTATCCTATGTCTGGTCATTTGGTGGGGGGTACTTATTATTAAACGGGGTACCTAGTGTCCCCCACAGGTAAAACTCATGTGTGGTGGATTAAGGCTCTTAATAAATATTGAAAGGGGGAGGGTGGATATGCCATTGTCAAATTTCTTACTCCCAGAAAAAAAAATAAGGGTAGGGTTAGTGTTAGGGTAGGATTAGGGATTATACAGGGTCAATGTTATGATAAGTTAAGGCATCATGTTGGGGTAGGGTTGTTTCCAGGTTAATGTAGAGATAATGTAGTGTTAGGTATATGGTTTAAATCAGTGTAAGCTTTAGTGTAAGGGATACTGTGGGTATTGCGTATTAAGACAGCTATGTTCTCAGTTCAGTTACTCTGACCTTAAATTTGAAATTCAATTTTAATTTGCTTTGAGTTTTGACTGTAGTGAATAACCCTATCAGTGTATCTATATTAAAAATATAGATTTAAAGTCGTGTTATCACTGCCAAATGATACTAATTATAGCCTTGATTTAATATTTTTGAAGATGAGTTTTTCAAATTATTTAATATTTTAGGATAAACTTTTGAAATTTTGAAAATATTAAAAAACAATATGTGGTTTGGGGACAAAGGGGAATTTATAACAAAGTTTGAGCTGTACCCATAAGAGCAAGACAGTTGTGGTGTGCCAAAAACAACGAACAGGTAGGCCTAAATAAAGAGGGCCCACCTTCTTCAAGCCCCTCACACAGCTTCCGGCATACTACCTTTACCTTTACATTTGTGGTCAGGGATAAAGAACGATGTATAACATAAAGTTTGAGCTGTACCATTCCTGAGTGAATGAAAATCACTACTTAAACTGACCCCACAGTAGCACTCAACAATATAATAGTGCTACTTAGTGTCCCCCTAAATATGAATTGAATAATCTAATACTAAAGCAAATAATACTATAAAGAGGGGAGAGCAACATGAGCACTTTACAATATTATGAGAGGGGGGATGTAACTATAAATAGGACAATTACAAGAAAAAATACAGGAACAGTTGAAGAGGGTATGAGTCCAAACACAGATAGCATGGCTGGAGTCAGCTACGATGGCGGGGAGGGGGTAGATAAAAGCCGAACAAACTACTCCCACAACTCCAAGCATATCACTTTTATATATATATATATATATATATATATATATATATATATATATATATACACAATACCAGTAGAGAGCACACAGGAGTCTTTCAAGGTAAATTTCATCTGTTGCTTTATTGAGCAATTACAAATTCACACAACGTTCCAGTGACGTTTCAGTCTGTAAAAGACTCCCTTAGTAAAATGTGTTCATTCAAGGTCATCATTTTACTTATTGCACCAAAATGACTGAGCAAATCTAATTATATCTCATTGAAAACAACAACACATGATTATGCTCAATACACAGGGGTTATTCACTAAAACAATGACATGTACTGAATAGCAAACCAAAATGCAAAAATTAGTAAAAAAGGCATGCACTGACACACAGAAACACACACACACACATGTAGACACACACTGATATGCACACACAGACTTCATACTGCAAACACAATGCACCCCTTACCACACATAGCCCCCTTCACACACAGGAGTACTCCAAATCTACTTTGCACCTGGATGTCGAAGAAGAAGAAGAACAATGAAACAATAGTGCAAATTTAAAAGTTGCACTATTGAAGGCAACAGAAAATTGCGTTAGGCTTGTCAGTAAAAGCAAAAAATTCAAGAAACCACTGTGGTACTCCGCAGATGTGGCCAAAATAGTTAAAAACAAAAAGTTAGCATTTAGGAATTATAAAAAAAACCAGAGTGAGGAAGACAAAATGATCTATAAGATTAGGTAGAAAGAGGCTAAGCAAGTTATAAGAGCTTCCAAATCACACACAGAAGAGAAAATAGCACAGTCAGTAAAAAAGGGGGATAAAACATTTTTTAGATACATAAATGAGAAAAGAAAAGTAAAACAAGGATTAGTTCAATTAAAAACAAAAGAAGGAAGGTATCTAGAAGAGGATAAAGGTCTAGCTGACTGCCTCAATGAATATTTTTATTTTGTATTTACAGATGAAAACGAAGGAAAGGGACCTCAGTTGAGAAAAAGGATAAATGAGTCATTTATTACATGTGAGTTTACAGAGGAAGAGGTTCTATTTCAACTGTCAAAAGTAAAAGACAAATAAGTCAATGGGACCTGATGGAATACACCCAAAGTTATTAAAAGAGCTTAGTGGTGTACTAGCAAAACCATTAACAGATTTATTTAACCAATCATTGTTAACAGGAGTAGTCCCAGAAGATTGGAAGTTAGCTAATGTTGTGCCCATTTACAAGAAAGGTAATAGGGAGGAGTCGGGCAACTATAGGCCAGTAAGCCTTACTTCAGTAGTGGGGGAAAGTGATGGAAACCATGTTAAAGGATAGGATTGATGAACATCTAAAAACACATGGATTTCAAGATCAGAGACAACATGGGTTTACTTCAGGGAGATCATACCAAACTAATCTTATTGATTTTTTTGATTGGGTAACTAAAATTATAGATCAGGGTGGTGCAGTAGACATTGCTTACCTAGATTTCAGTAAGGCTTTTCACACTGTTGCACATAGAAGCCTTATCAATAAACTGCAATCTTTAAGTTTGGATTCCAATATTGTTGAATGGGTAAGGCAGTGGCTGAGTGACAGGCAACAGAGGGTTGTAGTTAATGGAATATATTCGAAGCTTGGACTTGTCACCAGTGGGGTACCTCAGGGATCTGTACTTGGACCCATTCTCTTTAATATTTTATTAGTGATATTGCAGAAGGTCTTGATGGTAAGGTATGTCTTTTTGCTGATGATACTAAGATATGTAACAGGGTTGATGTTCCAGGAGGGATAAGCCAAATGACAAATGATTTAGGTAAACTAGAAAAATGGTCAGAATTGTGGCAACTGACATTTAATGTGGATAAGTGCAAGATAATGCATCTTGGACGTAAAAACCCAAGGGCAGAGTACAGAATATTTGATAGAGTCCTAACTTCAACATCTGAGGAAAGGGATTTAGGGGTGATTATTTCTGATGACTTAAAGGTAGGCAGACAATGTAATAGAGCAGCAGGAAATGCTAGCAGAATGCTTGGTTGTATAGGGAGAGGTATTAGCAGTAGAAAGAGGGAAGTGCTCATGCCATTGTACAGAACACTGGTGAGACCTCACTTGGAGTATTGTACACAGTACTGGAGACCGTATCTTCAGAAGGATATTGATACCTTAGAGAGGGTTCAGAGAAGGGCTACTAAACTGGTTCATGGATTGTGGGATAAAACTTACCAGGAAAGGTTAAAGGATCTTAACATGTATAGCTTGGAGGAAAGACGAGACAGGGGGGATATGATAGAAACATTTAAATATATAAAGGGAATCAACACAGTAAAGGAGGAGACTATATTTAAAAGAAGAAAAACTACCACAACAAGAGGACATAGTCTTAAATTAGAGGGACAAAGGTTTAAAAATAATATCAGGAAGTATTACTTTACTGAGAGGGTAGTGGATGCATGGAATAGCCTTCCAGCTGAAGTGGTAGAGGTTAACACAGTAAAGGAGTTTAAGCATGCGTGGGATAGGCATAAGGCTATCCTAACTATAAGATAGGCTAGGGACTAATGAAAGTATTTAGAAAATTGGGCAGACTAGATGGGCCGAATGGTTCTTATCTGCCGTCACATTCTATGTTTCTATGTTTCTATTTCCCATTTGTCTCACTTTGTCTTGTCTAAACTGCTTTATGGTGTCTGGTAAACGTTCAATGTAAAAAAAAAAAACCCTGAACATCTCATAACAAAAAAGATTAACACAAGTTATATGAGATTATTTATGTTTTATTTAATTATGTGAATTAAAGAGAAGTGATAGTTCCCCTGTAAGGGAAATAGTGATATGCTTAGCTTCTGGAGTCATTCATAAACCATTCAGTCTTGGGTATCATGATGTCTCCAAAACCCATCTATCAATTTAGCTATGAATAAGTGCTACTAGGCTGATATTTGTCCAGCAGCATCAGAAAGTGTGATTCTTTGCGGGCTAAGAACATACATGCTTAGTGTGACTAATCCAAAGGGACAGGTCCATATTTTGGGCCATACTCCCTCTGTCCCTCTTTTCTATTCTAATGTTCCTGTTTTCTATGAGCTCTGTATTGTTGGTGTATGAGTGAAAAAGACCTCTTAGCAGGTTG